CACAGAGACAGGAATGTCAGGCAGACATTCCTTTAGCGACGTGACATTTGTTTTTAAAAGACGCTGCCTAGCAACAAAAAGGCACAGGAGTAAGACATGGGTATATGGAAGAGACACTTGTCAGCATTGCTGGGAGATCAGAATGTGGGAATGGGAGGTCAGAGACTCAGGGACAGGAGTTTGACAAGAGGCTGGTGTGGATGATGCTGAGAACTCTCTGCTGCTGACATTGGGCTTGGGAGCAAGAACATTCAGCACCCTCAAAATTCAGAGATGCATGTGGAGGCATCTGAAACCCACCTTTTGGTGTGAGACAAATGAGCCTGGGGGCTCCTGGAGACTTGGAACTACCTCCCTGAGCCTGGAGGCTGCTAGCCAGCCTAGGATTTTCCATCAAAGGCCTTATTATCTAATCAACTCTCTCTGCTTTTCGCCCTCCTTCTCCTTGTTTGTGGTCTGCAGACTGCCAAAACTCCCTCGGCCTGGCCTCGGGCCACATTGCAGATGCTCAGATCACAGCATCGGGGCAGTATGGTGAGTAGGTGCTCTTGCTGTAAGGAAGGCAGGTGAGGCTGGGCAGCTTCATCCAGCTCAATTCATGTGCTTGCCTGCCCAAGGCTCTGCTACACTGGCTCCCTGACAGAGTCCTTCCTTCATCCGTGCACAAGTCAGTGTCCCACTCAGGACCTGGAGGTGCCTTCCCATGTCTTGCCCATCATGTCAGTGCTCTGCCACTCTGTATGTGGCTAATAAACCCTAGGGTGATCCTGAGGCCTCATCCTGTGGATGAACTTCTCACCACCTCAGGCTGGGCAGTGCCCGGGGCCAGCAGCACCCTCATACCTGTGCACTCTCCTCGCAGGGCAGTGGGCTCCTTACCTGGCCAGGCTGCATAACACCGGCTCCATCAATGCTTGGAGCACTGACTGCAGCAACGCTTGGATCCAGGTAAGAGGGGCCTTGTGGCTGGAGGCATCACTGTGCAGGACCCACACAGATGGCCAGTGTTTCCTCAGCTATGTCCTGCTATTTCCCCTGCTTCCCCTCTGGGACGGGAGCTCTGAGATCCTGGTGGCAGTTGGTCTGACCATGGTTGCTGCTGGTTCATCCTCAGTGCAGCAGAGGAATCACTTGGTGGTCTGGTTGCAGCGTTGGATTTTGCAAAAATCCCCCAAGACCTAATGAGAACAGCTCACCTCTCCAAACAGCTCTCTCCTGCCCTCTTCCAGCTGTTGGCTGACTTGTGCCTTTAGGAACAACAATTTTAGCTAGTTTCATAACCTGTGCTCAGTTACGTCATGAGGAAGCGCGTTCCATGTGTTTACCTGGCTTGCGTTTTCTGTCAGAAATGAATCTCTGACTTTTGTTCTCAGGTGGACCTTTTGCATCTCATGATTATTCACTGCATAAAAACCCAAGGGGCTCGACAAAAGTTCTCCAGCCTTTACGTCTCCCAGTTTGTTGTATTCTACAGCCTTGACGGGCAAAGGTGGAGGAAATACAAGGGGAAAGCCACCAGCACCCAGAAGGTAAGATGAATGAGTTTTGAGGAGAGTGTCTTTCCAGAATGGTGTATCTTGGGGTGATGAGAGCTAGGGAGCTCTGTACGCAAGGCAGAGATCTCCTGAGCCCCTGAGATATTTGATTAGGGCAGGAACAGTGAGCAGTCACTGTCAGGATGACTGAATCCCAGATCACAGATCTGCAAGGAACTTGCTGTCTGCATCCATCTGTCTCATTTTAAATCAATTGAGCTATTTCTTTCCATGATCTCAGGTGGCTGCAAGATCCACTGCTTAACAATATGTTGCATGTTACTTAGAGCATAAGCTGATCATTCCAGTGGGAGAAGTATCCAGAAAAGCCTCCATCATGTACACCAACTGTGCCCAAAATATTTCCCAGGTTCAAGTGTCCCAGGACTGACATTTTTCTTCTTTTTCTCCCCTCTGTTTGGTGAAAATACAAAAACATGTTCATTTGCATGAACTCCAGTTTTTTTCTCCTCCTGTTTCTCAGTGGTTCACCCTGATTTGGCCCACTCACACTTCTTTGGTTTGAATCACATCTAAAATCATTTTCCTGAGTTGTCTTTCTCTTGCTAGGATGGTGATAAGATACAGAAGTGCCAGATAGAAATGTTCTTCACTCCACTAATCCTTGCCCTGTCTAGCTCTTTTTCCACTAGTACAACAATCCTTTTTCTCCCTTTCCTTGCAGCTTTTCTTTGCAAATGTGGATGCAACCAGAGTGAAAGAAAATCACTTCAACCCTCCGATCATAGCCCGGTACATCCGCATTAACCCCACACACTACAACATCCGGACCACACTGCGCATGGAGCTCATTGGCTGTGATCTGAACAGTACGTCCCACCTCCAGATACCAAGCGCCAAAGCAGGGCCCTGATCCAGTGGAGTGCTGAGCATCAGCTCCGTGTGTTTCAGGACTCCGCAGGCAGTTGTGGAGGGAGAAGGAGGAACTTGGAGATGGCATTAAGACGTTGGGGGAACAAAGCTGGAGAATCTCATTATGGTCTTAGAGCTAGCAATACCAAAGGGAGAGGATGAGGCCAGCTCTCACCACTGCTTTTTCCTGAATCATCAGAAACCTTCAGCAGCAGCTAAGCTGATAGCTGGAGAGCTGCTGCCTCGATGTGGGGAAGCAGGGAACAAACAGAGATAGAGGTCATTGGCTTTTCCTCTAGTTTTGCCACTCCCAGGTGAGACTGCTCTGGCCCATAGCGTGGCCTGGGACAGTGGTGCTCTGGGATCCTTTCTTTAGCTTCGCACACCAGCAAGGTGGACTCTCCAGCAGCAGCAACTGTGCTGTCACCCCATGCCACAAACATGCCAGCTCCGACGCAGCTGTGCACATGCATACTCAATCACACCCTCTGCAGTGTGTCTCCCTGCCAGGTATTCTTGTCTTTCCCCTGGAGATAGCTTCTCCTTATGTCTTGGCAGAAGCACAAAATTTTTCACGTTCCTCCTAGATAAAATCTCCAGGGAGAAAAGCAGGTGGGACTAGTGGCAAGCACAGTCTGGCACTTCCCAACACAGGGGCCCTGAGCAGCACACGGACCGTGATATTGCAGCAAGGCACAGGAGAACCTGTAACCAGGGGAAGTGTATGGAGGACAGCTGGAGCACTGAGCATTCAGAAGCCATCTCCAAGATGTGTCTGTTCCCTGCTCTGACAAGCATCGCTCGTCTCTTCCAGGCTGCTCCATGCCTCTAGGAATGGAGAACAGAGGGATCCCTGACCAGTGCATCTCTGCATCCTCCTCCAGCACAAACGTCTTCTCCAGCTGGTCACCCTCTCATGCCCGCCTGAATCTGCAGGGGAGGATCAACGCATGGAGGCCAAAGGTAACCCATGCAAGGAGATCCTCAGGCAGGCAGCTGGGGCACAGGCAGGCAGGTGGGATCCCAGCAGGCAGGCTGGGTGCTTGCAGTCTCTCCTAGCCTGGGCTGTGTGGAGAGTGTGTACAGCCATGTGCACCTACACACAGGCAGGAGAGTTGCCACACTCGTTTAGCACCCAGCAGCTCCAACCAGATGCCTGGTAGGGCAGGTGAAGTCCTAGGCTATAATGCAGAGATAGGTCGGCTTCAGCTGCAACGAACATGTCTTTCTCATTGCTGCTGAAGGGTTGAAGGCAGTCTGTCCTTCCCCAGAGCAACAGCCCCAGTGAGTGGTTGCAGGTGGACTTTGAAGTAACCAAGAAAGTGACTGCAATCATAACGCAAGGTGCCAAAGCTGTCTTCACCCACATGTTTGTGAAGGAGTTTGCTGTCTCCAGCAGCCAGAACAGCGTGCACTGGAGCCCAATGCTGCAGGATGGCAAGGAGAAGGTAGGCAGGCCTGCCATGGCCAGAGGCAGCCCATGGCCACCCCCAGGGCATCAAGCAGACCCCTTGGCAGCAAACATGCTCACAGGACTTTTTGCAAGAACAGTGAGCCTAGCTGTGCTTTTTCCTCCTTAAAGGGTTCCCAAGTGGTGCTTCTCTGGGTTGATTGTCCTCAAGTCATGGGCTTAATATACCAGCAGAGGAGAGCACACCCCTGATTTCTCTCTCATCTCCAGATCTTCAAGGCAAACCAAGACCACACTAGCACAGTGATGAATACCCTGGAGCCTCCCCTCTTTGCCCGCTTTGTGAGGATACACCCCCGCCAGTGGCACAACCACATTGCCCTGCGGATAGAATTCCTTGGCTGCGACACTCAGCAGGAGTACTGACAGCTGTGGGGCCAGGCATGGGAGGCACGAGCCTGAGGACCTGCATCCAGCTGGACACTGAACTCTCACCAAGAGAGTTGGCCAGCCCCCCAAGGCCCTGGCCACCCTTGCTGCTGAGGCAGAGCAGACCTGCAGAGCTGTGGCAGTGGCTGGCTCGTTATCAGCCTCTTCCTGTCCTTTATCTACCAAATGCCATATAGTCAGATGTAATGCTGAAGAACTAAACAGTAATTTTCCAGTGTAATGCTGAAAAATAAAAAAGGAATTTTCCAGTATCTCTTTGCAGTTTCTCCTCTGCTCCAGCCTTGGAGTCTTCAGGGGCTCAGTCAGCATTACCAGCAGCTAGTAATTAATTAGACACAGAGCTGCTCAGCTTTTTTTTCACAAGCTCCCACTGCCCAGGCACAGTCCCGGAGAAAGAGGAAGCAGCAAAGATAAGGGCTGGGGGAGGAGGCCCTGCCCCAGGCCCCAGAGACCATTGGTGTAGACCAGTGGCTTGTGGGAGGCAGTGCTTGCTCAGCCTGACTCAACAACGGGCTTTGGACCTCCACTTCATCTCCTTCCCATAATACTCCTGCTGCCGTGGCCGGGTGCCACTGTCCTGCTTTCCGTGGCTGCCTCAAGCAATCCCTCCTTGCTTACTCACTGGAGGAGTTCTGTGGCTCCCGGGGGCTCTGGTGGGACATTGACTGCTGGATGAGCTGCCGCCTTGCCATGATCCCCAGCAAGGTGTCTCAGTGGTAGATGTTTCCCCTCCCAGGATGGCAATGAGTGGTGTGACACGGACTCCTGCCTCATGCCTCTCAGGGGGTGGGGACCTTCTGAAACAATTGCCACCTCACAACGGCCCAGAGCACCTAGTGGGCTGTGAAGCAGGTGTGGGGTCATGCCCGCTGGGCAACACATTTCGCCTCCATGGCAGTGGCAGCATTGTCATCGCCACTGGCTCATCAGACCCTGCACCAACCCAACCCCAGCACTGTGAGTCCTCCCTCTATGGTGGGGGAGCCAGGTGGCTCCACAAACCCCTCTAGCAGCCGGCGTGGGGCGGGAAGCGGGGCGATGAGAGGGATTTGGAAAATGGTGGGGATCATCCAGGTGCTGGCCGCCGTCACAATGGGATGTGTAGGATGAGTGCGCCAGGCTAGCAACAGCCAGCAATTGGCTTGTGAATTCCCATGGAGCCCCATCAGCCAGGCAGTCTCTGCTCACACCTATGAGAGAAGCAGCCTGGGGCAGCTCTGAGGAGAGCTCTACCAGCAGCACCAGGGAACTGTCACGGTGGAGACCCCAGGGCCTTGCCACGAGGCAGGGTGGTGGTGTGAGGAACTGCTGCCCTGAGCCACCCAGCTCCTGCTCACCCTCGGGAGCACTGGGCCTGCTGTGGGGCAGACAGATGCCTCCCCATCATGGCTCGGGTCCGGAGGACACAGGGACACATGCTGCAGGTCAGCCAGGTGACATGACCTGTCTGGGAACCCACATCCAGCGGAGATCATAAGCTGATATCTCAAATGAAGCAGGGCTCACAAAAAGCCTCATGCAACTGCTGGGCTCTACGTCACTGTACAAGGAGCCTTTGCTCCAGGGCCACAGGCCCTGGCAGTGATTACATTACAGCCTCAAGCAGGAGTTACAATCACCCTCTGGCTTCATTGCATTCCGACACCAACCAGGCACAGAGAGGAGGGGCTGCCTGGCAAACACTGGCCTGAAGAGAGGAACTGGAGCCATAAGCTTCTCAAAGGGGAACACCCCTGCTTGAGGCAGCGTAGCCTTCAGCCTGGGAGGACAAAGCCTGCCACCTTGGCCCCTTCCCAAGGCAAGCCTCCTCAGCTCCAAGGCAGCTACATCTCCTGTGAACGCAGTGGCCAATGCTGCACAAGGACAGCTGGCTGCATTCTCTGGACCACCAGTGCAGAAGAGTATTGCAGGCATGGTGAAGGGCGTGATGGCAGAGAGAGCAGAGACAACAGCTCAGCCCCAAACAGCAGCTGGACTGTAGACAGAGACCTACACATCCTTGCTGAGGTCCAGTTCCCCATGTTGATGCCCTTGGACAAGGACAGACATCTGCATCCTCTGCCCATGGCTACCACTGCAGGCCAGGCTGGGCTTGATCAGCTGAAGCTTAAATACTCATCAGGGTGAGAAACTGACAGGGATTGGTCAAGAGCAGGGTTTTTTCACAACACAAAATTGGTGAGGACCGCAAGCCCACCCAGGATTAGGCTCAGATGCATGTGTAGTCAGTCATGCAGGGCTGGCTGCTCCATATGGTCCTGGTTGCCTTGTCTCTCAGGACTGGTATCCAGCTCTGCTTGGTGAAGGAGGGACATGGTCCCTGCTTGTATCAGTGAATGCTCAGGCTCATCTTGCCTCCAGAAACAGGCTGCTGTGTTGTGGCACATTTGTCTGGTGACACAGGTTTAGATCAGAGAAAAAGCTGTGTGCACCAGAGCCCCCTCTGGATCATTTTCAAAGAGGAAATGGCCAAAATCTCTGCAGGTGACAATAGCCTTCACAAACCAGCCCCGAGCAGCTTCAGGATGCTCTCCAGCCACTCAGGAAGCAGTGAAGGGGCTGTGCTTTGTGAGAGCACTGGGAAGTGGCTGTGGGTAGCCAAATTGTCAGATGTGTCAGAGCCTGACAAGCTCTAGTATCCGTTACTGGAAGCGTCTCTTGATATCTTGTGGAGAATGGAGACCAGATACTGTTTCCTTCTAGCATTACGCAGATCTGAGATGCATTGCAGCCTCTACCAAGCCACACACATTTCCGTGCAGGGGAAGGGCTGGGCCAGCACAAAGGCCCCTGCCTGGTCACCACCTCATGAAGAGCCTTGCTGCAGTGGGGGATGCCTGGCTGAATCCTCCCGACACCAGGGATCTTATTCTCTTTCATGATTCGGCTGCTAGGATTGCCTGGGTTGGGTGATCATACAGCTATCTAGTGTCTCTAGGAAGATAAGACACATCCCTGCCATCTCTCCCTAGTATAGCCCAAGCAGGGATTATTTTGTAAGCCAAAGTGTGCAAGGTGTTTCAATGCTGAGCTCCAGCCAGATAAGCCATGGGCCAGGGCTGCTTCTAAATCCAGCTTCTCCCATGTTGGATGGAGAGCCCCTGGTACACAGTCCCCACCTGAGCCAGATGTGGGGATGTATGCAGGTATTGCAGCTAGGCAGACAGGCACCATTTTCAGAAAAAGTTGGCAGCTCATAACAGAAACAGGCAGCAGTACAGTGAAGAGAGCACCTGAGCAGGAACCATGGCCAACAGGGAGCGAAGCAAACTCGGGAAAGCACAGCTGAATTCTCAGCTCAGCCATGAAGCGAGGGCCAAGCTGCTTACCACCTCCTCTGCTTTGGTTTCCCAAGAGGGAAAGAAATGACTTAGTCTTCTCTTTTCTGTCTATCAGGTGTCTCTTGTCACATTTCTCCCTTCTACTATGTATTCTACAACTGTAGGGCTCCTCTCTGCTCTCCATAGCTCTTACCTCCTACCCCACATTGTTTCCAGCCTGTTTCTAGCCTGTGATTTCAAGAGGAGCCTGGAGTCAGGATGTACTCAGGGCAACATGTCTCAAAGCCATGTTCCACGATGTCACTGTATGTCCATACTTGCCTCTCAACCCACTCTCTCCAGGAGAGGCAAGGCTTGCTCTCGATGAGTGCTCCTCCTCCCAGGCTGCCTCAGCCACTAGGTAAGGATGCTCCAAAGTGCTCTGCAGATCCTTCTTTGTCAGCCAGGAAGGGCTAGGGGAGATGATGGTTCAAGCAGCATCCTCTAGCCTAGGAGACACATCTATTGTTGCTGAACACAGGCACCCCAGGACTTTTGTTGGCCTAGGTTTCTCATCCTAATCTGATTTTACAGGCTTTACAGGGAACCACACAGATGAAGTCTGTGCCACAGGTCCCACCATGCCCAGCTGCAAAACGAGACCCTCATAGCTGTCTTTTTCTGCTCCTGGTGCAGACCGCCATGATCTTCTACTGTCACTGCAAGCCTGTTGTGCCATTTGGTATACTACTTAGACAGAACTTGCTTAGCATATCTTGCTGAGCATTAGTAGCTAAATTTGCTGAAGCCTCAGGCTGCAAGCTGGGAACTTTCACCCAGGTATGCTAGTTTTACCTAGCTGAGTAAAGTAAGGCCCCAGAGCTCATTTGAGCTGGAAGATAAGGAAGCAAGGAAGGTCGCTACTATCATCAGCTGATGCAGCTACCTTAGAGATAACAGAAAAAAACACCCACTCATAGGCAATGAAGGAACCAAACGAAGAATGGGAAGACCCCAGACCCTAATATTGCTACTGGTCACAACTATCGGATGAGCAATGGGGAACTTAGATTGCAAGGCTATAATTGCCCAAGGATTTCTTTGTTCGGTGTCCCTCTTTGGAGACACATAGTTTGAACTGCTCTGCGTGTCAGATAAACAAACTGCATGTTTACTCAGCAGATTGGTGACTCCTCTTTTGCAAGTAGGAACCTAGCAGGAAAAGAACCAAGCCCGGTTAACAGTGGCATAATTCTTGGTCCGTGGCATGATTCCCTCAACAAAGCCCAAGGCCACCACCCAACTGGGCAGTGTGAGGCTGAGGATAGGGCAGGAAGTGGGTCTAGAGCTACATATGGGTGATGCAGAAGATTCTAGCCAGGTGATCCCAACTAAGTGCACAAGAGCTGCCACAGGAGAAGGACTGATGAGAAGAGCTTGCCTCGAGCAGAACTGACTGCCCACTCCAGCCACCTCTGAGCAGCAGATCCGTGGCTTTCTGCCTCTTAATCCCCATCCACTTGACATATCTGCTGTGGAGGAGAAAGGGGTGGGTAGCTAGCCCTACAAGACAGTCCTGGGCTGGAGACCACTGCAGGAACTTCAGCCCAGGGGCTGGAGTTTTCCAGGAAGTTTCTTGGGAAGGATGAAGTTTTTCAACATTGGAGAGGAAGACACACTACCCCTTGTGATCTGGGAACTCCCTGTCCATCCTGT